TCGCTCTTGCTCAGGCTGGTTTCAAATTCCTGACCTCGAGCAATCTGCCTGCCTCAGCCTCCCAGAGTGCTAGGATTACAGGCGTGAGCCACCGTGCCTGCCTGGCCGAGATCATTGGCTTTTTAAGGAAGGGCCATGTGCCTTGGGGCAGGGCAGGTCTAAGGGGATGGTAAGTCTAGGCAAGAGGAAGTCTACCCTGGGGCCTTCAGAATCTCAATTCCTTTGTCTTGCAGAAAATCCATTTCTGGGAAATAACTCAAAAGTTCAAGTAGTTTAGTTAAGGGAGAGGATTGTAAAAAATATATAGGGGTCATTGAAATTTGTTCATGGAGCCCTTAGCAATTCCCTCCTTTTTAGTTCATTCCTTAGCCTTAATTAGGACTTGTATCTATCTGGCTGCTTCCTGCTGAAATGAGACATAGTTGGGGTATGAGGAAAAATAAAAATGTTGGACCTGTAAATGAAACTTTTTTGCACTTGTTGAGTTGCCACCCTCTCCCCACCAAGGTAGCAAAATATATCAAAGGAAGTACTCATTCCCATCTGGGATCCTACCTGGAAGATAATGACCCAGTGTCCCCCAGATGGAATTTCCATCCAAAATTCCCCTAGTCATTCATGAAAGCAGTTTTAGGGAGCTAGCTTAATGGGCAACTTTTGACCTGTTATGGACTAAAAAGTGGGTGGTAATAAGGATTTCCAACAAGCAAATGTCTCCCATTGTCCAGCTTCTTAGACAATCATAGGCCCAAGGATTTTTTTTTCCCCATTGACCCCATAGTTAAAAATATACACAGAGGGTACACCAAGAGTACCTGCTCCTGTTTGCCTGTTTCTCTGGGAGCTAGTGTGTTATCAGTTTCCTTAGACCTTCAAGAAACATTTGCTGATGGTACTCTTGTACAAATAAGGGTTCCCTGGCTGTCTAATTGGAGAAAGTGGATTAAGTCCACTTAATTGGTTGGAGAATTACCAGGCTGCTCTTTTAGCCCTCAACTCTTCCTTAGACAGTTCTCTAATGTCTCCAGCTGTGCATGATGGCTACTTCCCTAGGCAATAAAACAGCTTTTAATAACACAAGGATTTGTGATCCATATGTAATTTTCTTGTTTTCAGAGGTAAGGTACTCTTGTTTCTTCCAATAGCTTTATGAGCATGTACCACAAAAAAGCACACTTAGAATCATTCTAGTTAATGCAATTAATTTATTCTTCTGGGACAGGTATCCTAGGTGGTAGAGCTTGTGGGTCAATTACCTGTTGGCCTCTAACCACAGCATACCTAACTTTGCATTGTCCCTGTTACATAAGTCGTCTTCTATCCATAAAGAGCTCCTCATCTGGGTCCTACAGGGGCTGCTCAGTCAAATCCAAGAAACTGTACTGATTATAGTCAGTAATCTGACTATAATCATAGAATCAGGAACAAGAGTCCATAGGCAGCAAGGTGGCCAGATTTAAGGTGAACACTATCTTCAGAGTTATATTAGAATTATCTAACAAAGTAGCCTGATATTTACCAGTCCGACACTAGCCCTTAACCAAAAGCCTGCCTTTTATTCTAGTAGGATTAATACATACTGCCGCAGAAGAACATACTGTATAATGTGAAAAGTCACCAGTTGCCCAAGTGTAAACTTTTCAGCTTCCTGCCAGGTGGGCGCTGTGGCTCACACCTGTAATCCTAGCACTCTGGGAAGCTGAGGTGGGCAGATCGCTCAAGGTCAGGAGTTCGAAACCAGCCTGAGAAAGAGCAAGACCCTGTCTCTACTAAAAATAGAAAGAAATTAATTGGCCAACTAAAAATATATAGAAAAAATATTAGCCAGGCATGGTGGTGCATGCCTGTAGTCCCAGATACTTGGGAGGTTGAGGCAGAAGGATTGCTTGAGCCCAGGAGTTTGAGGTTGCTGTGAGCTAGGCTGACGCCACAGCACTCTAGCCCAAGCTACAGAGTGAGACTCCGTCTCAAAAAAAAAAAAAGAAAAGAAAACTTTTCAGCTTCCTATAAAATATCATAAGTAGCAGACACCACTATCAGAAAAATGGGCCATCCTTTTACTGTCATATCCAATTGCTTAGAGAAATAAGGTATAGGTTGCTTATCATCCTCCAAAGTTTGTGTCAATACCCTGAGTCCAATTCCTTATCTTTTTTGAATTAACAAATCAAAGGCCTATATAGGTCTGGGGGGCCAACTGCAGGGGTGGTCATTAATTTTTTTAATTGTCATAAAAGCATTGTGATATTCCCTGCTCCAAGTAAGTGGTTCTTTTCTTCTCCTCTTAAGGCTTTTTAGAGGAGCTGTGCTATTATCCTAAAGTTAAAAATTTAAATCTGGCAAAACCCAGCCATACCCAAGAATCCTCCCAACTGTGTGTGCGAGGTAGGGACTCCTATTCAACTCCATCCAATCTGGGAGTAGGTTCTGAGTTCCAAGAGATAATTCGAACCCCAAGTATTTGACTATGGGAAGTGAGATCTGAGCTCTTTCTGAAATGCTTTATATCCTTTGTCAGCCAGTATATTTAACACAATTACAGCTTCAGTCTCACTGGTTATCAGAATACATTCTACATACTGGATGATTGTTCCTTTATTTAAGTCTATTTCCCTCAAACTCTGGCCAGAATTTTTCTGAAGATTGTTGGGGAGTTTTTAAACACCTGAGTAAGGACAGTCTCATTTATTTTCCAAAGCCAACTAACCAGAAGTCATGAATCATTTTTCATAAACACTAAAGAAACATTCTGTATACACAAACTAATAAGGCTGGGTCACTCAAGGACTTTTATTTATTTATTTATTTATTTTTAAGACAGTGTCTCACTGTGTTGCCCAGGCTAGAGTGCCGTGGTGTCAGCCTAGCTCACAACAACCTCAAACTCCTGGGCTCAGGCGTTTCTCCTGCCTCAGCCTCCCAAGTAGCTGGGACTATAGGCATGTATCATCATGCCCAGCTAATTTTTTCTATTTTTTAGTCGAGATGGGGTCTTGTTCTTGCTCAGGCTGATCTTTAACTAGGAGTTCACACAATCTGCCTGTCTCTGCCTCCCAGAGTGCTAGGATTACAGGCGTGAGCCACTGTGCTGGCCTCTCAAGGACTTTTAATCTCATTTTAACCCGAATAACTTGGCTACTACAAGTAGGGAATGTTGGAGAGACTCAGTCTGGCATTTCAGAAATAAGGCAGAAAAATAAGGAGTTAAAGATTTTGCTATATAGAAGAAAGAACTTTCTGTGGAACATGAGATATAAGTATAAACATTAACTCATCTACAACAGAAATTTCATACTTTCTACAGTCTGGAGTTAACCTCTCAGGGTTGGAATTCTAGCTCTCCCAGTTTCTAAAGTGCGGACTTTGGCAAGTGGCTTCATCTCCCTAGGCCTCGGTTTTCTGCCCTGAGTGGGAGAAAAGTGAACAGCAAAGTACCTACATCGTGTGGGAATTAAACGAGATAATCACATCTAAAGCACTTAAAACAGTGCTTGGCACATTGTATAATAGCTGGCATCACCCTGATTCCAGCTGCTGCTGGTGTCACCTGTAGCTGGGCTTGAAGTGGAAAAGGTATCTCGGACCCTGAACACTGGTTTCTGGGGAGTTACCAGCACTTGAGCTAGAGAGGACCTTGGGTTGAGTCAAGCTCCCCACTGCCCTCAAACCAGAATTCTGCCATCTAGTGCCCAGTGGCAGCAAATGCCTAAATTCCGATGACAAGGCCCCATTCCTTGTCCCATGTCCTCTGACCCCCCCTACCACTAGTCTCCTTTTCTACTCCAGGCTCCAGAGTCAGCATAACAATTTGGCTTCCCCAAAGCTTCAAGCTCTTTCACACTCTATTTTGTTCATGGCAGCCCCCCATGCCTGGCATCGCATTCTCTTCATCCCATGTGCCAAGCAAACACCTGCTTATCTCAATTCAATCCAAAGACTCAATTCAAGCCTTATCTCCTCTAAGAAAGCATTCCTGAGGCACCTTAGTGGCTCATTTCCTTCTTGCCACCCTGGGCCACCTCCCTTCCTGGGCCACAACTCTTCCAACATTGCCTGTATCTGCCCCCCTTCCCCTCTCACAGATGCTCCCCTCTGTACCCCAGCCCCTGGACAGTACCCCATGTCTAGAAGGTGTCCAATATGTGTCTGCCAAATGAATGCATAGGACAGTCCAGTTGGGGGTGGGAGGGTGGAGCAGTCAGGATAGAACTGTTCCAGGAGTTAAGGGACAGATCCATGTTGCTGGCATATAAAAGCTTCATTGTTGATTGCATATCTCTAGCCCCTGCTTTGACTTTGAGGCTTATTTTTTTATTAGAAATTAACACATAAACATACAGCTACCCTGTGATTCAACAATCCCACTTCTACATATTTACCCAAAAGAAAAAATCTGTGTCTACAAAAGACTTGCTCAAGGATGCCCAGAGTCACTACTTTGTTCATAATAGCTACTAACTGGAAAAGGCCCAAATGCCCATCAACAGGGGAAGGGATAAACAAATTGTGGTGTCATTCCATGAAATTCTTTCTACTCAGCAACAAAAAGGAACAGCATGGCTCACTCTCACGACCATCATGCTAAGTGAAAGGAGCCAGACACAAGAGTACATACTGAATGCTCACATCTGTATGAAATTATAGGAAGGGAAAATGTAGCTTATAGTGACAGAAAGGGGATCAGTGGAGTCAGTGTGGGTGGGGATGGGGGAGAAAAGGCTGCGACTCACTGGGAAAAGGCAAAGATTGTTAAAGCTCATCAAGCTGTATACTCAAATCTGGGCATCTATTAAATTACATATCAATCACATGAAAGATGTTTTAAGACTCTGAAGGGAGGGACCAAGGGAGGATAGAAAGGAAGGAAAGCAGGTGTGCCCAGCCCAGCAGGAGCCGGGCGCCTGCGCCCGGCATGCAGTTGCTCCTCTCGGCCGCCAGGGGGCGGCGTGGGCTCGGGAAGGGTTGGCGCGAGCCGGGAGCGGCCGGGAGCGGCGGCGAGGGGGCGGGGCGGGCCCGTGCGGACTCCATGCGGGCTCGCGGGGTCGTCATGGCGGAGCCGCCGCAAGTGCGGGTACAGGAGGCCGTGGACACCATGGTGAAGAGTCTGGAGAGAGAGAACATCCGGAAGATGCAGGTAGCGGGGCTGGGGCCGAGCCGGACCCTTCCGTCAGCCGCCGCGCGATGCCTGGTACTGCGGCCGCCCTCCCAGCAGACCCGGTCCGGGCGTCCCGGTGGCCGCGGCGCCCTCACACGGAGCTTCGGGAGCTCCGGCCGCTAGGGCGAAAGCCGTGCGCCCCCGCCACGCGCAAGGCCGTTTCCCCACAGTCCAGCCCGGGGGAGGGGGAGGGCCAGGGGCCGGAGACAGAAGCCCTGGGGTTCGTCCCCCCAGCTTCGCCTCATGCGCGGCCCCTTCCGCAGGTGAGCAGCCCGAGGCCCAGAAAAGCGCGCCCGAGGTGAAAGACCAGAAAGGCGAAGGCTCCCGGTCTCCCCGCTGGCCAGGTCATGCCCGCTGCTGTTGCGCCGAGCTCCGCTTCACACAGCGCTGGTTTATTGCTGTTCTGCTTTGACCCCTACATGTTTTTATGGGTGTTGGTCCTGCTTCCCTCACCGAACTGTGGGTTTCCCTGATAGTGCTCCTGGAGTCGTTAATTAATGGGTCGGTTGCCCCCTGGTGGAGTACAGTTTATTAGGCTGCTGACCTCTGAACCCTGCGGTCTGGGCACCTGGTTTTCAGCACATGTTCTCCTCTGACTCACCCCCACCTTCCCGGTCCATCCAGCCATCGGTGCAACAAGTGCCAGTGAGCCAGCAGCAACAAGGCATGGGACATTCGGCTAGGCATCTAGGATAGTTTTCCCCAGTCGTGGTTTTAAGGACCTGGTGTCTGTTCTTAGGGAAGGTGAAAGCAGAAGGTGGAGAGGGAGGCACAAATACCGACGTGGTCTTCTGACTCCTCTACCGCTCCATGGTCATCTCTGTCCCCAGAGGCTGTCTTACCTAACCTCACTCTGCCCTCCCTCCCCAGGGACTCATGTTCCGGTGCAGCGCCAGCTGTTGTGAGGACAGCCAGGCTTCCATGCAGCAGGTGCACCAGTGCATTGAGCGCTGCCATGCACCTCTGGCACAAGCTCAGGCTCTGGTGACCAACGAGTTGGAGAAGTTCCAGGTGAGGAATATCCCAGACAGAGCACTGCAGTCCTTGATGTCCTCTTTTGCATGAGATGACAAACATTTGTTCATATCTCTTGGCTTTAGTGTCTGGCTTCTGTTAACATTTGTGGTAATCCTGTGACCAACCAGTCTTCACAGGGTTTGAAATTTTAGAAAAAATCCTGGAAGTTGAGTGCTGTAAGTTGAACCATATTGTGGTGTTATGATGTATATATTGGTTTTCATCCAGGGTGCCTATGGCATTTCATAACTCCCATAGTCCTTGTTATAATGTTGGGCCCTTTAGGCCTCAGGAGATAGAATCTGTCACTCTGACCTTCTCCTCTCCTCCTTTTACCTGCCCAAGGCAAGACTCTAATCTGCTTGTGGGTCAAAAGACCCTCTTTCCAGAGAGCGTCCTACCCCAGACCCTGGAGGAAGGAATGCTATGCAGAAAAGCCAGGAAGAATCTGAAGCTAGACAGGCCTTGCTGGGTTTGGATCGTGTGCTTTTTGTCCAATTACATTCCTGCACAGTTGTCAATCATGCCCATGTAATGAAGCCACTGTAAAAACCCAGGAGGACTGGGTTTGGAGAGCTTCCAGATAGCTAAACAAAAGGGGCTTCCTAGAGGTTGGTGAACCCAGGGAGAGCATGGAAACTTCTCGCCCCCTCCCCCATACCTCATCCTATGCATCGCTTCATCTGTTATCTATTACAATAAACCTATAAACGTAACTTAAGTGTTTCCCTGAGTTCAGTGAACCACTCCAGCAAATAAATCGAACCCAAACAGGGAGGGAGTCATTGGAACCCTAACTTTAAGCTAGTCTGTCAGAAGCTCCAGAGGCCTGAATTTGTGACACGTGTTGGGACGAAGGGCTGTTGGCAGAATAGCTCCCTCACCGTGTGGGATCTGATACTATCTCCAAGTAGATGGTGTCAGAATTGAATTAGAGGACACCCAACTGGTATCCACTGCTTGGTGTGGGGGGAAAACCCCACATTTGGTAGAAGTCCTCTTTGTGTTGATTGCTGTGGAATTTAGAAGAAAGCACAGTTTGGGCAGTGTTTTTCCCAGAGCACATATGTTCCAGTAGAAACAATGATATAAAGGGAGTTAGCAGAGTACATGACCAAGAGCCTTGATTGTGGTTTCGCTGCTGTTGTTTGCCATAACCACCAACTATAATATATATTTACTATATAGTATAAAGTTTCCTAAAACATAATTAATTTTTTAAAAGCAGCAAAATCTTCAGGAAAGTGACATAAGATAGTTTTAAAAGGTACATATTAGAACAAGACCCTACCACCACTTAGTGGACCTGTACACCCAGCCAGGACTGTTTCTACTTGCTACAGCCAGGGAGAAGCTCTTCTGTCACTAAGGAGCAGTCACTTATATGAAGCGTGGTTATTGTTGACTCATTGATGCTTGGCTCACAAGCCCCTCTGAGGCTGCTATTAATAAAAGAGCTCCCTTCTTCCCTCTCTGGACCACAGGGTATCCACAACTTCATTTTACTCCCTTCTTCTAAGTATATTTTTCTAGAACTTGAGGAGAAGCAGGACCTGCTGCCAAACCTGTCTTTCATAGCCTGAAGTTCCATCCACATGGAAAAATTATACCTAATGTGATATAATTTTACATTCTGCTATACAAAACTCTTCAAAATTATTGCCATTATGAAGGACTAATTTTTTCAAGATCATAGAACTCCAAAGGGTTTCAGTGTGTTCATTTTGACAGCTAATTGTATAGATTGGGTCTTTGAAAATTTGATTCTTAGATTGCTATATAACTTTCTCATTCCATTCTTTTAGGTCCTTTCAAAGCATACTTTCTGGCTGGGCGTGGTGGCTCACGCCTGTAATCCTAGCACTCTGGGAGGCCAAGGCGGGTAGATTGCTCAAGGTCAGGAGTTCGGAACCAGCCTGAGCAAGAGCAAGAACCCGTCTCTACTAAAAATAGAAAGAAATTAGCCAGATAATTAAAAATATATAGAAAAAATTAGCCAGGCATGGTGGCACATGCCTGTACTCCCAGCTACTTGGGGGCTGAGGCAGTAGGATCACTTGAGCCCAGGAGTTTGAGGTTGCTGTGAGCTAGGTTGACGCCATGGCACTCTAGCCTGGGCAACAGAGACTCTTGACTCATAAAAAAAAAAAAAAAGCATATCTTCCCTCCCTCTTCCACAGCTCTTGCCACTCACCTCCATAAGGCTAAATCCCATGGTCATTTCTCAGTCCTCATGTTACTCGATCTGTGTGTAGCATTGACACAGTGGATCGCGTTCCTCCTTGAAGCACTATATGCAGTTGGCCACCAGGACACCTCACTTTCCTGGTTTTCCACCTTCCTCCTTTCTTGGCCTCCATTGCTGGCTCTTCGCCTCTCCAACCTCTGAACACTGGAGTGCCCAGGGTGGTCCTTGATCCTTTTCTCCTTTCTAACTACTCCTCTAGTCTCCCAGTTATAAATATCATCTATATGCTGACAACTCCTACATTTGTATCTCTAGACCAGACTTCACTCCTGAACTCCAGATTCATATATCCAACCATTTATTTAATATTTCTACTTACTTTGTTTGTTTCTCTTCCTTCACTGGAATGTAAGTTCTAGCAAGAACTTTATTATGTATTTTACTCATTGCTATATTCCGCAAAAAGAGAATAGTGCCCAGCACATAGTTGATGCTCAATAAATATTTGTTGAATTGAGATTATTCTGTAGTAAGAACAGACATTAAAGAATCAAGATGTGTGCAAGTCTAGCAGTAACCTCTAATGACCTCTTATTTACTGGAAAAGTCTTCTGTACAATTTATTCTGTCACTCACCTGCCTTTCTAGAAATAATGTCTTATCTGGGCCTCCCTGTTTCACTCCAACAATCTTGGTCAATCACACTAGAATGTCCCTTTGATGGGTGAAGATAATATACGTCAAGGCTATAGCACAGGGCCTAGCACATGAGCACTCAGTAAATGGAAGCCAGACTCAGCCTCTCTACCCTCTTCCTTCTTGCCACAGGACCGCCTGGCCCGCTGCACCATGCATTGCAACGACAAAGCCAAAGATTCCATAGATGCAGGGAGTAAGGAGCTTCAGGTGAAGCGTCAGCTGGACGGTTGTGTGACCAAGTGTGTTGATGACCACATGCACCTCATCCCGACTATGACCAAGAAGATGAAGGAGTCTCTCGTATCCATTGGGAAATAAAAGTCTTTGCCAGTGGCCATCGGGGCTGAGGGCAAGAGTCTATTTTTAAAAAGGAATGGGAATTTTAGTCTTCTAAGCAAAGTTTATGAATGAAGAAATTAAGGATGGGAATGAGCATAAGTCATATGTCACTTGCCACTGGACACTGGTTTCTTTGTTTTAAACCAGAAAAGTGAAATGGAAAAAATCGGTATAAAATTTGGATCAGAGATAGTACAGGAGTGTGATTTAGAGCCTATATTTTATGTGGCAAGTGCTTGTTCTGGCAGTAAGAAATTCCCTTATACCAGAGCCAGAGTCTTCCAAAATACCAAATTCTTACTACACAGGTACCAACAGACTGGCAGTTTCCTCTAACCTGCCTCTGATCTAATGGAGTTTGAGAAGTGTTTCTCTTTGTTGCCAACCTCCTGTTTACTGGAAGTTTTACCACACCATTTTCCACAATCTGTAAAACAAAATCCATGAAGTCAGTAGTTTAGAAAGGGAAAGAAAGGTTTCTGAGTCTTTGTTTCACTTGGTTTTGTTTTATTTATACAGGGGCACAAAGTTGATTTAAGATACGGAGTTGGGACAGAGAGTAGTTTGGATAAGAACTTTGAAAGGTTCCTTGTGGATATTCTTTTCTCACCATCAAGGTGTGGATGTGCAGTTTTAAAATTATTACACTGTCTTTCAGCCTGGACACCATGAGAAGCAACATCACACTGATTATGGGAAGCAGAGCTTCCCTTTTATTGGCTGACGGGCCCTAAGGCTGTCTGCAGCAGAGTGACAGGACAATCTTATGGTAACACTTTCTCCTTGAAAAGAAAGAGGGTTTTTGATTTTGGTATATACCAATATGAACAGTAACAGAGTAACTGTTGGCTACCTGATTAGAAGAGAGTTGTGAAGTGCTGGATTTGAAAGAACCTGGTTTTCCTTGAATGGAATGCAGTGAAAGCTTAAACTCGGCATTGCTTACTTAGCCAACTGAATTAACAGAGCCCTATCAAGACAATCCCCTGGCAACAGGAATTTCAAGGGGAAAAAAGCAAGTGAAGTGGGCTAGGAGCTGTGACTCCATTTGAGTAAAGGAGGGGCAGTCTCCCATTACCAAATATCATTTTTGCCCGGGACATTTGTAACATCCAGTGTCTCTGCCCTGGCCTGGCACTTTGTCATTTTGATAAGGACCTCATTGTCTTTTTACCAACCTGTTACTTGAAATAATATAGCCTGCCTGTTGTTTCCAGGCGGTAATATATTCCTAGTAGTTTGGTGTTTTTTTTGTTTTTTGTTTTTTTACCCTCTTACACAGCACTTTTATTTTTAGGAATATAAATGAAGAAAATAATGATGTGAAATGATTTAGCAATAAGGATAACCAAAGAATTTTTATAATAGCTCAAAAATGGAGGGAAAAACTAAGCAGTAGTAGATTAATGAATAAAAATATGCCTACATTATACAATGAGCTATTAACCAGCCATTAAAAATTATACCTGGCGCAGTGGCTCATGCCTGTAATCCTAGCACTCTGGGAGGCCGAGGCGGGAGGATCACTCAAGGTCAGGAGTTTGAGACCAGCATGAGCAAGAGCGAGACCCCATCTCCACTAAAACAATAGAAAGAAATTAGGTGGACAACTAAAAATATAAATGTAAAAAATTAGCCAGGCATGGTGGTGCATGCCTGTAGTCCCAGCTACTTGGGAGGCTGAGGCAGTAAGATTGCTTGAGCTCAGGAGTTTGAGGTTCCTGTGAGCTAGGCTGACGCCATGGCACTCTAGCCCTGGCAATAGAGTGAGACTCTGTCTCAAAAAAAAATTATTGTGCAGATGCACATTTGTTGACATAGACATTCACAGAATAACATTAAAGGAAAAAACAGTTTATCAGCAGCAGATATTTTAGTATCCCATGGTGATGTGTGTGTGTGGGTATGTGTTTGTATGTGCTTATGTATATGGAAAAAAGCCTGAAAATGTCTATATTAAATATTAAAATTGGTTATCTTTGGATGACAGGATTCTTGATGACATTTTTCTACACCAATTTATTTCTTCTCTCTTTCTGGAACTCCATTCACATGTTAGTTACTAAAGTATTTATTATCCCACAGGTTGGAAGCCCTAGTTTGTCAGTCTTTTTCTCTGGTTTGTTGTTGTGGGGTTTTTTGTTTGTTTGAGACAAGGTCTTGCTCTGTCTCCAGGGCAAGAGTGTAGTAGAATCATCGCAGCTCCAAGGAGAGGCTGGATCTTCTTTTAATGTGGTTTTGAGGGCAAAATTTTCTTTAATGATGAAAAGCCTTTGAAGGATCAAAGCACTTGATACCTATAACTTTATTCAATTCCTCTGTAAGTTTTGTCTCACTTTTTTTTTTTAGCAAGCTGAGAGCAGGGTTTTGACACCTGAAAAGGTTCTGTTTTATTATACAGTCCTTCATACAGGACACTTATTTCTTCAGTTCATTCTGCTATTGTATTTTCTCTTCCAGATTTTCTTACTGCTTCATTTTCCAGTTTCCTACAGTCCTTGTCTTGTTGCTCAAGTTGGTTCTGCAAATCAGTTATTTTTTTAAGAGAAGAAACTGATTTCTTTAATTTTGCTTCTTTAAGTGTCGACTTGGTCTGCAGATCTCGAAGTACCCTTGCATATTTGTGCTCTCAGTTGCCAGTATCTGATGTTGAACATCCTCTGCACTTTTCTCAGCCTTGGCCACTTTTTCCAGCTTAAGATCTTCTATTTCAGCAGCTATTAATGCTTTATAGCTTTCAGACTGAGCAGTATCATCCTCAAGGTTTTGCACTGTACTGTTAACACTTTTCCTACAAAAGCAGAGTGGCCTGAGTGTTAGCAGCATTACTTTTCTCCAGTTCACCTTCTTTCCCTTTCAGCTTTTCTTCTAGGAGTTTGAATTCTTCAGTTCTAAATTTTATTTCTTCTTTCAATTGCTTGACTCATCTTTCAGCTTGTTCTTTTGGTGTAATTTATCAAGCTCATCCAGTGTTTGCTTTAATTCTTCCTCAAAGAGATTCCTCTCTTTAATAATTTCCTCTTGAAAGGAATATACCTTCTGCTGAAGACTAGAAGATAATTCCTTTTCTTGTTGCAGAAGTGAATCAATTTGTAACTCATTTTGCTGAAGCTTTACATGTTCTTGTTTTTCAAGAATAAACTTCTCTTTTAAGTTTTACATCTCAGCATTTAAATTTTCATCCCGTTCTGTATTCCTGTTTACAAGGTGGTCTTTTTCTTTTTCAAGAAGCTGACATTTAGCATTCATATCTTCTACTTGTTTAGACGACCTAATATTTTCTTCAAGAGACTGCTGCATTGGCCAGGTGTAATGGCTCACACCTGTAATCCTAGCACTCTGGGAGGCCGAGGTGGAGGATTATTTGAGCTCAGGAGTTCGAGACCAGCCTGACTAAGAGTAAGACCCCATCTTTACTAAAAATAAAAATTAGCTGGACAACTAAAAATACACATATATATAAAAAAAATTAGCCGGGCATGGTGGCGCATGCCTGTAGTCCCAGCTCCTGGGGATGCTGAGGCAGAAGGATCGCTTGAGCCCAGGAGTTTGAGGTTGATGTGAGCTAGGCTGATGCCATGGCACTCTAGCCCAGGCAACACAGTGAGACTCTGTCTCAAAAAAAAAAAGTGCTGCAGCCTTAAAATTTCATGATTCTTCTCTTTCAAATTTTCTTCTAATTGGGCGATATCTGGCTTATATTTTTATTTTTCTTTTTCTTTTCTTTTTTTTTTTTTTGAGCAGTGTCTCACTTTGTTGCCCAGGCTAGAGTGAGTGCCGTGGCGTCAGCCTAGCTCACAGCAACCTCAAACTCCTGGGCTCAAGCTATCCTACTGCTCAGCCTCCCGAGGTAGCTGGATACAGGCATGCGCCACCATGCCCGGCTAATGTTTTCTGTATTATTTTTAGTTGTTCCACTAATTTCTTTATATTTTTAGTAAAGATGGGATCTTGCTCAGGCTGGTTTTGAACTCCTGACCTCGAGCAATCCGCCTGCCTCGGCCTCCCAGAGTGCTAGGATTATACGCATGAGCCACCACGCCCAGCATGGCTTATATTTTTCTACTTGATCTGATACACAACTAATTTCTTCAATGTATTCTAAGAGTTTTTCCATTTCAGATTTTTCATCAATCTTGTCTTTCTCCATTGAAACAAGTTTCCCCTCAAGTTTGGCTATTTGCCCCTGAGACTGTTTGAGATTCTTCTGGGTGACCTATAGCTTCGTCTCCATGTCTTCGTATTTATCATACTCCTCATCTTTGTTTCTCTTTTGTTTCTAAGTTTCATCAACTCCAGGCTTAGAATTCTCAAATTCTTATTACTATTTTCAAAAAACTTAGATTTCATTAATCCTCGTCATTTCAATAAGCTGATTTTCCAGTGAACCATTATTTGCAGAGTGATGTTTTTTCCCTGACTATAGCATTTAGCTTTGCTTCCATCTTCCAATTCAGTTTCCAGGTCCTGGATCCTCTTGTCCTGAGCAGCATGTTCCTGCACAAGAATACGAATCTCTTTTTCTAATATCTTCCAATCTTTATCATTCTTTAGAGATTCTTTCTCTTTAACAGCCTTTAATTCCATATAAGTACCTCGCGCTAACCAATTGCGCTACTGGAGCTTACAGCCTTTCATTCCAAAGTCTTGACTTGCCTAGCTAAAGTAGGCAAGGTAGCATCTTTATCAACATTAGGATTTTGTTGAGATTCTTTTCTTTATTTAATCTTTGTGATTTCTGAAAGGAAACTGGTCCTTTCAATACTTAATGACATTTTGATGACATAACCACCTTTAGATGGTGCACAACTGGAAGGCTGGTTGAATCATTTCAGGGGCGACTTAGGAAAGGACATGCAGATGACCAACTCCAGAAGCTGAAAGTCAGTACCACTCCTTGACAACTGCCTGCAGAATTAAGATTGGCTGGGGGCTGTGGCTCACGCCTGTAATCCTAGCACTCTGGGAGGCCGAGGCAGGTGCATTGTTTGAGCTCAGGAGTTCAAGACCAGCCTGAGCAAGAGCCAGAGCCCGTCTCTACTAAAAAAATAGAATTTGGCTGGACAACTAAAAATATATAGAAAAAAATTAGCCGGGCATGGTGGTTCATGCCTGTAGTCCCAGCTACCCGGGAGGCTGAGGCACGAAGATCACTTGAGCAGAGGAGTTTGAGGTTGCTGTGAGCTAGGCTAATGCCACAGCACTCTAACCCTGGCAACAGAGCGAGACTGCCTCAGAAATAAATAAAGGTTTGACTTTCCCTTTACTATTGTGTTATCTTATATCTGGGCTGCAAATATGTAATTTTCTCAGTATGCTTCTACTTGTTATGTGTGAAATAAGAAATTTAAGGTGTCCAGAATGGAAATTAGTTATTTCTTATAGTTTAGGTGTCAGAACTGCTTCATTGTAAATTGGGAAAACTTTGAGGGAAGGATAGGGCATTATGACAAGAGAAATTCAGTATTGATATCATGTCTCTAGTTTCCACTAGACACTAACAGCAAGTGGTGGGAAAGGTAGTCTGCTATGACCCCTCTAGATAGTGTCTAGGATTTTGAGTACCAAAAGAATACAAACTATTATATATGATGGGTTGGACTTTATTATCATTGGTATTGAAATAGAGCCGTTTCTGAGCAATAGCAATGAACTGAATTTTGGTGAACCATCCCCTACTTAACAGGTCTCCTTTGGTCTACTCTCCTGTAAATCCTGGATTCTCCTATTTTGGGGTAAGTTAAAAAAATGGAAATGAGTCAGAGACCACTTTTTACACTGATACTTGATGTGGAAAAACAATACCTCATGTTAGAGATCATTCGTGGCTGCACCTCACGTTTACATACAGGGGAACGGCACATTAGTGGGGTTCTGGAGGCAGCGTTCCGACCATTCAAGGACCATGAATCGGGAACAGACTGAAATCCTGGAGACAGGCCCAGTCACCTTACTCTCCTCTGGGGCAAAGGCTGCTAATTTGCATGTTACGGGAACCCTAGGGTTATGCTGCGGGAATACGTGCCAAAGAAATACAAGGGGCCCTCTCCTGAGCTCATTTTCATTCGGCGTATGTGAAGAAAACAAACGACCCAACCCACAGATGGAGGGCTGCCCTGGTTTACACTACAAACTAAGAGCGGGACCGTTATCTCAATTTTACACAAAGGAAACGGAATTAAGAAAGGTGCCTAGAAGCCCCGCCTCCGTCCTGGCCAATCCCTGACCGCACAGCCAGAAACTCCGCGTGACAGACGCGCTTGGACTTCCCCAAGTATCGCGAGGTGAAATGTGAAAAATGTCGACAAGCAATTGGCTGAGGGGATGAGTGACGTCGGACGCGAGACGCCGGGCCTACAGCGGGAGCGTGAGGGAGGCTGCAAATTCCGTTTCTAGTCATCTCTGGCTCCGCGGAGTAGAATACCATGAGCAAAGCTCACCCTCCCGAGTTGAAAAAGTGAGTATGTGTGAGCGCCGGACCAAAGTTTTCCCGTCCCTTAGGTCACCCTTCGTTTCCCGCCCAGTACGCCTAGCGTGCCTGGGCCGAATGGCGTGGGTCCCTTCACCTCATCTTATTCCGGTCCGAGGCCGCCGGGATCTCGGCCAGGGTCTCGCGCGTCGGGACGTGAAGGCCGGGCAGACCCCGCGCGTCGGCTTGGTCGGGCTGGTCACCCGAGGCAGCCGAGGCTCCTCCATTTGGCGACTTGCCTTCCAGTCCCGAGGTCCCGGCCTCTCGTCTTCCCCGCGCTCTCCCTCGCTACTGGAAGATGTCGCATACCACCCTTTGTTGAACATCGTGAATGGCATCATGGTCTAATTAAGATGGCTAGAGGAGTAATTCTATAAGGAAAGAGGGGGCTGTATGCAAGTATTTTATAGTACAAGAGGAATCAGAATCAAAAAAAACCCTTTAACCTTAGAGAATGTCTTGTAATTAAGTTAAATTTGAGTGTCGCGTGATATCTTGCTCTGACATTGGAACTGTGTTAAGAACATTCATTTTTCTAATCAGAGAAGGCTCGTTGTTTTTTGGAATTTTTTCCTACACCCGGTAAGTCAAACTTTAAATAGGAGATCCTTACTTTTTTGTTTTTTGAGAGACTCCCTCAGTCCCCCCGGGTACAGTGCGGTGGTATCATCATACCTCACTGCAACCTCAAAACCCTGGGCTCAAGCGATCCTCCTGCCTCAGCCTCCCTGGTTGCTGGGACTACAGGCATGGGCTGCCGCACCTGGCTAATTTTTCCATTTTTAGTGGAGACAGGTTCTCTTCTCAAACTTTCTGGCTTATTGTGTGTATTTGAACAATTTTTTTAACCTTTCTAATCCTCGTTCCTCCTCTATAAAATGGTGGTAATAATATTACATAATTGAAAAGTTGTATGGATTTAATAAGATTTTGGGGTTTGTTATGTTTTGTTTTTGAGACAAAGTCTCGCTTGGTTGCCCAGGCTAGAGTGAGTGCAGTGGCGTCATCCTAGCTCACAGCAACCTCAAACTCCTGGGCTCAAGCAATCCTGCTCCCTCAGCCTCCCGAGTAGCGGGGGCTACAGGCATGCGGCACCATGCCCAGCTAATTTTTTCTATATATATTAGTTGGCCAATTAATTTCTTATATTATAGTAGAGACGGCTGGTTTTAAACTCCTGACTTCCAGCAATCCTCTTGCCTCGGCCTCCCAAAGTGCTAGGATTACAGGTGTACCACCTCGCTGGCCGATTTAATTAATAAGATTTTGTATGTTATATTTGCTATGCTTTATATGTTTTATTAAAATATATGGTGTTATTTATCATACTCCATAAATATATTTTTCTTTGTAAATGTATCTATTCCCACTTCCATTCAGGACCCCAGGTTTTATTTATCTTGGAATCATCCTATGATACCTTATACAAAAAAATTGAATGAAATTTCATATTTTCTAGCCTATAATTGGAAGAGGCAAAAATCTCCTTTGCATGGCTTTAGTGTTCTCATACTATGCCTCTAAACTGGAATTTTCTTGTTTAATTCCAATTTTTTAAAGTTTCAAAATATTTACTAAAACACACGTGTTGAGAACTATTCTGAACATAAACTTGATGCTCAATATTAAGTAAAACAACATTACTTATTTTTCTAAATATAAAGTAAAATACCGATTGAATTGGATATGGTTTAATTACTATTTGCTGTCTTTACAACTTAGTTTATTTATTTTGAAATAACAAAAGGTAACCAGATCTTTGTTTTTCTATTATTTATTGGAAAATCCAGGCCGGGCGCGGTGGTTGCTCACGCCTATAATCCAGCACTCTGGGAGGCCCAGGCAGTGGATTGCTTGAGGTCAGGAGTTCAAAACCAGCCTGAGCAAGGGCAAGACCCCGTCTCTACTATACATTGAAGAAATTAATTGGCCAACTAATATATATAAAAATTAGCGGCATGGTGGTGCATGCCTGTAGTCCCAGCTACTTGGGAGGCAGAGCAGTAGGATTGCTTGAGCCCAGGAGTTTGAGCTAGCTGATGCCACGGCACTCACTCTAGCCTGGGCAACAAAGTGAGACTCTGTCTCAAAAAAAAAAAAAGAAAGAAAGAAAATAAAATTCAATCATTGAAAGATCAGTGGAACAACAGTATTGAATAATAAGAATGTTTTGTTTTGTTTTGAGACAGAGTCTCACTCTGTTGCCTGGGTTGGAGTGCTGTGGCCTCAGCCTAGCTCACAGCAACCTCAAACTCCTGGGCTCAAGCGATCCTCCTGTCTCAGCCTCCTGAGTAGCTGGGACTACTGGCATTTGCACCATGCCCAGCTAGTTTTTTCTGTATATTTTTTAGTTGTCCAGCCAATTTCTTTCTATTTCTACTAGAGACAGGAGTCTCACTCTTGCTGAGGCTAATTTCAAACTCCTGACCTGAGCGATCTGCCGGCCTCAGCCTCCCAGAGTGCTAGGATTATTGGCGTGAGCCACTGCTTCCACCAATATGAATGTTTTTTAATTCACATTATTACTATACATACTCAATGGAGATTAATATAGTCTAAATGCATTTCATTTTATTTAATTTTTCCTTCCCAATTTACATCGGTTACAGAAATCTTATTTAGGTAACCCCTTATCCTTCCCCTTTACAGCAATACAAGGTTTTTACTGTTTAAATTTCATTATTCTATTGTAGATTTTAGCAATTATTTACATGTACCTACTTCTGTTCTTGTTTATGCTTAAAATTAAAATCAGTTACATAATCTTTACCTTTGCTTTTTCAGATTTATGGACAAAAGTTATCATGTGATGTTTTGTTTTTCTTATTTTAGTAGTTTTCTTAATGTATCTTGGCAGTATATTTAGCAACTTTATAAAATTTAGAGCATGCAGATCTCTGATTATACCACTAATAAGCAATTTATGAAATTCCATAACTGATAATTTTATTTACCTAATTTCTGATATTTAATAAATTTAAACAGCTCTTCAGACTTTCAGTAATTTCCTATAAGTCCTCCCTTACTTTGACAAAATTAACAGGATTTTTCTGTGTTGTGGTATTGAAAATTTATCAACTTTTTTCCTTAAACAAGCTACAAAAGACTTAGACAAGGAATAGTCTGTTATTGGAGTGTGCAGGAAAACCAGATTTTTAACCTATTAAAATCCAACCCACACATATATTGAGATATCGTCGGGTCAAAACCATGGGCTTAGAGGTAAGCAGCCTTCAGTTGAATCTCACCTCTACCATAGAGAACTATATAATCTTATAAAGTAGGATAATGCTACTTTATGGGATACTTTAAAACATGGAGAGAATATAAAAACACATGTAACCCATGTAGTCGTATAGTAAGGTAGTGAGTCAAACATCTCAACTTTTTATCCCAACTAATTATTAATAGATTTTGGTGGTAGTTTTACTAAAACTTTTTTTTCTTTTTGTTATAGTGAAATTAAATGGTGGCAGACATGTCCAAGGAATATTACGGGGATTTGATCCCTTTATGAATCTTGTGATAGATGAATGTGTGGAGATGGCAACTAGTGGGCAACAGAACAATATTGGAATGGTGGTAAGTAAAGATATAAGATTTCTCTTAGACAATTCATTTTTCTTTTGTAATGTATATTAAATTTCTTTATGTCAAACTCTTGAATTAGAGTTGGTAACCCCCAGAAAAAGCAAATCACAGGCAGATTAGACTTTGCATCTCTTTTTTATTAATAGTTTCACATATGGCAGTCATTTGGCTATGATAATATCCGGTTACCTATAGGTCAGGTCCCAACTATACAGAACTTTCTAAGGTCCTAGGGATTGGAATAGCTGTTGGAAATAATTTTTGAGCTTTATAAGAGAGGCCCATAATCAGTTAGTTATTACAGCAATAGTTCTCAAACTTTAACATACGTATCAGCCTCAGGAAATCTTATTAAAATACAGATTCTGATTCAGTATTTGTGAGTTGGAGCTTGAGGTTTTGTATTCCTATCAACTGCCTAGGTAATGCAGATCTGCCAGTCCACAAATCACACTTTGATTTTACCTGTATACATAGGTAAGCTGGATTGTCGGATTTATCACACCCCAAACTTAAAAGTAACCAAGGTAAAAGTTACAAGGGAAAATCAACAATGATAGCATTTGACATGAGAAAAGAACAGGGAAAATCAAAAAACAGTTCTCATTATAGGAGGAAACTTTTCTACATTCATTAGGCCATAGTTTATGACTACTGAAGAAGAGTTTTGATATTTGTCAATAAGACCCAGACTTTGAATCCCTCTTTGTCTAACATAGGACAGCATACCTGATAAGTGATTTAAAGTGTAGGCCGGGCGCGGTGGCTGACACCTGTAATCCTAGCACTCTGGGAGGCCCAGGCCAGCGATTGCTCGAGGTCAGGAGTTCAAAACCAGCCTGAGCAAGAGCGAGACCCTGTCTCTACTATAAATAGAAAGAAATTAATTGACCAACTAATATATATACAAAAAATTAGCCAGGCATGGTGGCGCATGCCTATAGTCCCAGCTACTCGGGAGGCTGAGGCAGCAGGATTGCTTGAGCCCAGGAGTTTGAGGTTGCTGTGAGCTAGGCTGACGCCACAGCACTCACTCAAGCCTGGGCAACAAAGCAAGACTCTGTCTCAAAAAAATAATAAAATAAATGTGAACAGTAGATAGTTGAAGATAGACCGATTTTAAACCTTTGCCTATGTAATTTTTTAAAAATCACTCTTCCCAGGGTTTGTCTTTACTTATTTCAAATGGTTTTCCATTGCTACATTTTAAAAAGTAGTCATAACTGAAAAAACAGTTTAGAGTCTCTACATGTCACACCAATTCCCAAATTGCATTCACTGCCTTTCACTTGCATTCCCTATGAGCTTCTGTTGAATAAAACTCTGATAGGATTATTGGCAGCCAGGTTCTGATAAAAAACAGTTTCTAAATACCTCAAGATTTTCCTCTGACCCTTCTTTTTACAAAATTGGGAAGTCTTCATTCTAATAGAAGGTAGATTGGGGTTTTTGTTCATCTCAACAAATTTGCTGTAAAGGATTCAGAAAGGCTTGGCATATTAAATGTCAATTCTGGTTTGAAAATATAATATTTTTATCCAATTGTGTGACACACTGCTTATTGGAATTTTATCAGAAAAGGAATTGACCTTGGATCATGGATCCTTCTGGCAATTTTCCCTTAAACTGATCAGCAGATAGTAATTGCAGCTGAGTCTTCACTTTGAAAATGAAGTAATGATAATACATTATGGTGTTTAATAAAAAGACATTTAAGGAAAACGCAAAAACAGAAGTGGACTTTGGACTTTTTTGAAACTGAAGAAAGACAAACACGTTAAGTTTATGTTAATTTCGTTTTATCAGAAATTGTTTAGCAAAGGAAACAGTTGTTTTTCAAATACCTTGTTCAAGTCAGTGACCCACTGAGGCCATGATAATTTCTTAATGTACTTAGTATATTAAGAATGTATGTGTGGCCGGGCGGAGTGGGCTCATGCCTGTAATCAAGACAGACGGATTGCTCAAGGTCAGGAGTTCCGAAACCAGCCTGAGCAAGAGCGAGACTCCGTCTCTACTAAAAATAGAAAGAAATTAATTGGCCAACTAATATATGTAGAAAATTAGCTGATGCATGGGTGGGCGCATGCCTGTAGTCCCAGCTACTCGGGAGGCTGAGGAAGAAGGATTGCTTGAGCCCAGGAGTTTGAGGTTGCTGTGAGCTAGGCTAATGCCACGGCACTCACTCTAGCCTGGGCAACAGAGTCAGACTCTGTCTCAAAAAAAAAAAAAAAATTTCTACTCAATTTCCAAGGCCGCGGTAAGATGTCATTTTCGTAAAGCCTGCCTTTACTAACTTCCATCCTTGTTTGTTCCCTAAATGGTCTTAAACTGTACCTAACCTATTCTGTACCTGTCTTTCCCGTTAATTTTTTCAATCCCTAAGGATAAGGGTAGAGAGGTTCATTTCAGTTTGCAGTTTAAAAAGTAAGACAAGTCAATGAATAACTTGGCATCTCATAAAGGTAATTGTCAGCCTTAATGATTTGGTAAAAATTCTTTAATCATCATTGATCTGTCTCCTAAATGAATTGTTTTCCGTTTTACTTTTCCCTTTCTTAGGTAATACGAGGAAATAGTATCATCATGTTAGAAGCCTTGGAACGAGTATAAATAATGCTGTTGAGCAGAGAAATCCTGCCCCTCCCCAAAGGGCCTGTTTTACTATGATGTCAAAATCAGGTCATGTACATTTTCATATTAAACTTTTGTTAAATAAACTTTTGTAATAATCAAAATGCTCTCTCAGATTTTCTGAATATAGAATATATACTCTTATTTTAACTTTTCTAACATGAATTGTAGACACTAATACTCTCATGGTTGAAATGTATTTCAAGGGTTTTATGCATTAAAATGGAACAATCTTATTAAATGTAGATTATGGCAAGGATTCTTTTCTCCATCTTTCAACACTGAGCAGATAAAGACCTGCAACATCCATGGGTTTCTTCTGAAATATTAACTATAATTTGAAATTTAACAGTAGTCTAGTTAATCTCCTGACTTGCCCAAGAACATCTGTATTCCAAATATAGTTACAACAGAAATAAAACAAGTAATGCCATAGTTATCTTATTTTGAACATAATCATTAAGTGGGGAGAAATTTGAATACAAGAGTAGAAATAGGATTCCACAGAAAAATATTGCAGTGTATTGTGGTCTTTGTGCATAGAGAAAGGGTAGTGAGAAGTGGTGGTGTCCACAATATATTCATCTATTCATGAATTTTATGCCCACAAGCTCAAATAAGAGATATATTATAAAACTGTGCAGAAGGGAATATACACATGTGAGGTTTTTGTAAAACACAGAACATAGTAAATGGCTATTATATGTATTTCTCTCTCTAAAATGGTATTTCCTACTTATGAAAATGTTTACACAAAGAACAGCTAGAGGGATCAAACTAAGTTAATCACAATAAGAGAAGTTGACGTGAAGTCCAGTACATTTCTATTCGTCCATTCTTCAGCAACTCTTTGTGAATCATTGGACATTGATTTTTTGCAACAACAGAGTAAATTGTAGAACTATCTTCCAAGTGCGATTCGGAGCAGTAGTTTTAACCTGGGAAACGTTTAAAATAATGTAAATTTTTTTTTATCCTGAACTACGCAATCTATTGAATAACAAATTGTACGGGTGGGCCGAGCAATTGCTTTAACAAGCCCTCCAGAAAATTCTGATGCATCGCTTAATTGCATAGCTTGGAAATATTGGAGTAGACTGGCTTTCATTC